CTGAACTCCTTTCTTATGCCAAACACAAAAATAACTCAAAATGGATCACAGACCTAAATGTACAAGCTAAAACTGTAAAACTCTTAGAATAAAATATGGCATTAGATTTTCATGAACTTGGATTAGGTAAAGCTATCTTAGATGTGACACCAAATGCATGAATGACAAAACACAGATAAATTAGGCCAGGTGTGGTAACTCAAGCTTGTAATCCCAGCATTCTGGAGGCCAAGGAAGGTAAAGAGCAGCTAGTAAAGAAAGAGCAGCAGAATATATGGGGGTGCAGAAGGTGAGAGAGCAAGGTCTAGGGAGAGGTGAGAAGGATGGAATCAAGAGTCTTGAATACAAGGAGAGACATGTCCTTTCTGGAGAAAAGAGTTTGCAGAAGTAGATGGGGACAAATTTGTACACAGTGAGCAGGAACTGACGGAGATCAAATCTTGTCGTTTGTCAATAAAATAGGAGGTCAGCTATTCATTGAGAATGAGGATGGCAGGAATTGAGTATGCAACCCAACACTGTACTGAAGTTTTGGAAGATACTGAAGGATTCTGTAAATTCAAACCCAATAAACAGAATATTCATTGTATTTACCAAAAGGAAGTGAGATATGGTCACTTAAAACCTAAGTATTTTTAAAACACAAGTATCATTGGTCAGAACTTTCATCAAAAAACAAAACAAAACAAAAAAAAACCTTTCATTTTCCTTAACAAAATAATCCTGTCTTTTATTATGGTTCTGTTGTGAACTGTCCTTCCAAGAGATAATTACCTAGCTTAAAGTCAGGGAAGTGGCAATGCTGCTCTTCAATGAAACTAAACCAACAACAAACTGATCCAATAACTGAATTTGATAAGAGGTATAATTTTATCTTATTGGCTACAAAGTAGCAGTGTAGAATCATTAACAGGATTAGTTGACATTCCGCTCAATAGGCATCTCAAGTCCTCTGGGCAAATATTTAAGCAGCTTACGCTGTAACCAGGTGTCTTGCTTGAACGTTTACACTTAATGGACACTGACTTGCTATCTCGTGTTAGGCACTACAGGGTTAGAAAAGGAAAGCAAACAGATGGAGACAAGACAACTGTGTTTATTGAGAAAGCATCTAAATACCATGCCACATATTTTAAACTCTGTGTGTTTATGGGACACCCATATGAACACTTCTTAACCAAATTAAAGGGATGGTGTCTCGGTTTGAAGGTAAGTTACACTCACCTCCTGCCTCTCTGCACCTGGCTCACAAAGAGGCATTTCTTTATCTTAAAATTTGGATCTTTGAGGGAGAACCAGTGAATAGTAAAGGAAAGTTAGAGAGCCATAGAATTTTCCATATGGAAGTGGCCTGGGATCACCTATCTAATCTGGCCTTCCTACTTCATAAATGTGCAGCCCAGAGATTTTTTTAACAGCCAGCCTAAGATAGTCACATCTCTAATTAGGGGGGGAAGCTGGGATGAAAACTCTTGATAATTTTCAAAATATCAGAGATCAAAAATAAAAGTTCATTTACATTATATAAGTCAGACAAATACATAGCAATCTTTTCAGTGCCCTCTGGATAAGTGGGAATAAAAATAAAATTCATAATTAAAAGCACATAGAATGAGAACTGCAGGTAACTTGGCAAAACAAAAAAAATTACTTCCGCTGTATAGGTTTCCACAAATACACTGACACCTGATTGATATGTAGGGTTTGTATGAATTCTTCTGATATACTGGGATTGCTTTGGTAGTCTGATGATGCTTTAAGTATCATCTTCCATCTATGGAATAAACAAAATTATGTTTTCCTCTGAAAGGATTTATTCTTAATCCTGGGGACATAAAGTAGCAATATACTTTTTGTTAAGCAAGAGTTATTTTTACTTTGCAGCAACATAGTTTTTAATCTACAGTTAATGATTCTGACTTTTTGTTGTTTTTTCCTAAAAATAAACATCCAAAGGCATATACCCATCTCAATAGTGCAGAACAAGCAGGTAGCTAGTTCAACTACCTTACCTTGATCACTAGCGTTTTTAAGTTATGATTATTTAAAATAAATGTTAACAGCCCCACACTAGCCTCCCATACTGTTTCTGTCTCACAAAGTAAGATTGCAACAATTTGAGTGCCACATGACATAGTTACCTGGAGGTGTTGAATTTTGCTGTGGCTAATGTAGAGCCTCTTAGTAGTGGAAGGAATATTTGATGGTACCTCCATTAGTCTGTAGCATTGCACCAACTGCATAGAATCACAGTTACATCTTCCAGGACAGTTAGGATTAAAACCATCGCTAAGAGAGCAAAATAAAGAAAGCATAAATCAGATGCATCTTCCAAAACAGGGGCTCTCAGGTGTAGGTAGGTGTTTAGGTGATGTCTCACTCTTTATACCATGAAATCCGATAATAAAATCTTATGAATGTGTACTCTGTCAATGTAAGAAGACAGGAAAGAAAAAAATTCTCAATTTGTCTGGGTTAAAATCTTAGCAATCATTACATAGAGGAAGGGGCTTAAACACTGATAAGCTGTCTTAATATTTGTAGGTGAGCAAAACTCTATGTTATAATTTATGACTTTGAAGGCTAATCTGCAAACACCTCTATTATCTGTAGTTTCCTTGTTTTTAAATGTGACATTAGGGAATTAGTGGGAAAAGACAAAGAGCTGTTTTATAGTGGGCCATAAAACCTTTGCATTTTCTGTGCCCCTATGTTAAAACCATTTTTGTGGGACTGAAACAGGCAAGTGTTGTCTTCTCACATTAACCAGTAAGGGAAAATAAGAAGGTTTTCTATTCCTTACTGCTGTTTCAGTAACATTTTATTGCTAAATAAAACAATGGTAGTACAATGTCAAGATACTTAGAGGCACAGATAACTTACTCATTTATCACTTGATCCACTCAAATGTAATATTTGGAAAACATCTTTGTCACTCAAAAAATTGCTGACTTAGAGAACAAAACATCAACATGGGTCGATTATTTTCATCTATTTTTAATAATGATAGAAAGGGCCTCTAGCCGCTTCAGAGGAAGTTGTCAGATGTGAAACCTCACTGATTACAGAGGGGAAAGCTTTACTTGTCTAGGCACTCCTTTGTTTGGCTTTTTTGTTATGCTCTGAGCATATCCGCTGAGGGTTTTGAAAGCATTCTATGCAAAAAATTGTATAAAGAAACTCTCTACCCACAAATGAAGAACTTAATTTCTTAATGCCAGTGGGCCTCATCAGTTTGCTTTAATGAAACCTTTAATATTAAAAAGATCCTTCAGCCTCCTCTTCAACTTTACCTGTCTGCTATATTTGTCATTTGAAATATGAACCCTGAAAATCTGAGAGAGATCTCAGTTAGTTTAGAAAGTTTATTTTGCCAAGGTTGAGAACACATGCCCATGACATAGCCTCAGTAAGTCCTGATAACATGTGCCTAAGGTAGTCAGAGCAGTTTGGTTTTATACATTTTAGGGAGATATGAGACATCAGTCAATCTATGTAAGATGAACATTGATTCGGTCTGGAAAGGCAGGGAGGGGACTTCCAGGTCAAAGACAGTTAAGAGACAAATGGCTACATTCTTGTGAGTTTCTGATTAGCCTTTCCAAAGGAAGCAATCACATATGCATTTATCTCAGTGAATAGAGGGGTGACTTTGAATAAAATGGAAGGCAGATTTGCCCTAAACAGTTCCCAGCTTGACTTTTCCCTTTAGCCTAGTGATTTGGGGGGCCCAAAGTATTTTCTTTTCACATTTCCCCCAGTTTAATTTTTAAAATCTTTTGGAGAAAGCATTTTAGAAGAAAATGAGTCTTTGGTCTAAGGTTTCATCTGATCTCTCTTAGCTAGGATGATGATTTATTCCTAGACAGGTGGGTCTCAAGTTATTAGGAAAAGGTCATTTTTGGAAGGTTGTGAAGTCTCATGTACTATGAAAAAAATACGAGGAGGAAGGGAGAAAAATAACAAACTGGAAAATCAATATAGGCCACATTACTCTGAAGTCCATACATCAGCAGGCAGGTAGGAAAGTGGCTTATGAATGTAAATAGGTTGCTGTTATTTTCTTCTGAAGTTTAAGTTGTCTAGCTTTAGTTTGCAGGGCTTTATGAAAGCACAGCTTAGTTTTTAGTGACTCCGAATTAGGAAAAAGGTGGTGGGGGAAGAAAAAAAAAAATGAAAACAGTATTTTAAAGACTTGTAGCCAAGAAAAAATTAGAATTTGATCCAAACTGTAGAAAATAATAAAAATTCAAAAACAATAGGTAAGACTATAATCTAACCATAGGTGTACTACAGTTTTTGAAACCTAATTTTTCTCTCTCCAGTTTCCCATTTTTACTAAAGACAAATCATAGTAGAACTAGTTTGCTTTATTGTACTTGGCCTAATTATTTGTATATACTGTAGCAAGAATAATTAATTTTTACATAGGCTGTTCTCTTTTCTTTTGAGATGGAGTCTCTGTCACCCAGGCTGGAATGCAATGGTGCAACCAGCCTCCATTTCCTGGGTTCAAGTGATTCTTCTGCCTCAGCCTTTTGAGTAGCTGGGATTATAGGTGTGCACCACAACGCCTGGCTAACTGTTTTTTGGATTTTTAGTAAAGACGAGGTTTTGCCATGTTGGCCAGGCTGGTCTTGAATTCCTGACCTCAAGTGATCCACCCACCTCAGCCTCTCAAAGTGCTGGGATTATGTGTGTAAGCCACCAAGCCCATCCTACCTAAGCTTTTAAATTGGCCTTGATGAAACTTTGTTGCACAGAAGGAATCTCAGATAAGATTTTTTTAAAGCCGAGCCCAGTCATGTATTTGTACCATTAAATACCTATGATCCTATGATTGGTGAATTCCTCTCCTCTTGAGGTTCGAAGATAAACTTGGGGCCCTGGACTTGTCAGAAAGTGCATTCTTTACTTTCCACAGGTCAGGAACCCTCTACAGGAACTGTGTAGACAACGGTATGCAGCCAGTTTTTCCAAGGAGTTTTATTGGCTCAATAAATTTGATCCCTAAAAGGAAAACACACCATTCCAGTAAAAGTCTTGGTAACATAACCAGTTTCTCCAATTGTGTCCTGTCACAAATGAAAACAGATTCTTATTGCACTTACGCAACTAACTATATTGTCACAAGTTAAGAATACAAATAGTTTCCAAATTCTGTAGAAATAAGGTAAAGAGAAACAAATATGCTCCAAATTTTGTTCATAGGAATATATTTTAATCAATTGTTAAAATCTGTAAGTACAAGTTTTTTTTTTTTTTTTTACTCTGAAAAGCAAAACAAAGGGTCAGCAATGTTTTAATCAAAACTTGAAAAGATTATTTTGGTCTTCTATTAGTTTAGTCCATGAAGTTAATTCCTGTTCTGCTTGATATTCATGAACATTTCAGTTCTACATGAGTCCTGAAAGCTTTTCCTCTATTTTGATGTCACAATCTTCAAAGTTATCAGAAACCTGCATTCTAGAGCACCTGTTAGAGTTTTATAGAGGACTATAAAACCACCTTCTAAAGAGGACCAAAACAAGACAAGAATTGTCCACGGATGACAGAAAGTTTCAGGGCACCCATAGTCAAAGACACAATTGACAAGGTAATTTGTTACCTCCATGGCATACAATAATTTAAGGTAACAATTATAACTATTACTGATAACATACATTAAGTCATATCAGAATTATAGGAGTTCCAAAATTCTCATAATTTTGGAACACATATCAAAAACATATTTATACAAATATAGTCCAAAGAAAAACACATAGCATTTCATACTTGACAATGCTTTCTGTATAATTTTTATAGCAAATAAGTCAAATATGTCACTTTTGGAGTTTAAGGAACTTATGAATAACATCTTAAAGGATTAATTACATCAGAAAATGACATAATTTATAATTTGATTTTGGAAAGTTTGTCAAATACCAAAGGTTTAAAACACTTGATACTACAAAATAGGATTGCAGGTCATTGTAAAATAAGTCATTTAACCAAAGTGATAACTCAAGAATTTCTAAAAAAGGAAAAAAAAAAAAAAAAAAAAAAAAAAAAAAAAAAAAAAAAAAAAAAAAAAAAAAAAAAAAAAAAAAAAAAAAGAAAGGTAAAAACCTTCATTCTCTGAGGAAACAAATTTTCCAAACAATAAGCCCTAATTAAACAGCATAAAGCCAATTAAATTTGTTTTCCAAAATTTTATAAACAATGTATAAAATTTTATCTTGATTATAAGTTATAACTTCCATAAGCCTTTATAACCTTTGTGACCTTTATTAAGGAGTCAGTTAATGTTTTAAAAAACCTTGCTAATCTGACACAAGGGCTCATAACCTGGTCTTGCATCACTGTCCCTTTGCAGGTTAATGACTAGTTTATGGAGAAACGACTTATTTTATCTCGCAAAATTGGCCCTTCCAATCTTACATGCCCACCTCTTCTGCAATTGTTCCTGGGCCTTGAGGAGTTGAATAACTTTAATTTCTGACCCTGTGTCTCAGGAATGCAGTTTATTTTGATTGGCATTTTCTATCAGGTCTTAAGATGAGGCTTTGATTGCTATCAATGTTTAAAATTTAGTAGGACTTCGTGTTCTTTTTAGACCCAGGAGTTAAAGCCCTTGTAACACCAGTTCCATACCAGCCTAGCCAAGATGGTGAAACTCCATCTCTACTAAAAATACAAAAATTAGCTAGGCATGGTGGCAAGTGCCTGTAATCCTACCCAGGAGGCTGAGGCAGGATAATCGCTTGGGAGGGCAGAGGTTGCAGGGAGCTGAGATCACACCACTGCACTCCAGCTTGGGCAACAGAGTGAGACTCTGCCAAAAAAAGGAAAGTCACAAAGACTTAAAAAGCACATACAAGAAGATTCAATGATCTAATAACCTTAATTAAAAATTTTTTTCAAACCTCAGTTTTTCCTAAGCAAACTTAACTTAATAATAATGGCATAGGAATTATCTCAATGAAACGGAAAATCCATTAGGCCAGTTACCTGACAAAAGAAAAGACGTTCTGCACTGCACAGAATATTATGCTATAAGAAAACCTTTCCTTGAGACCTTTAGGAAGAAGATCATTTTGATGCTAAAATTTGATTTGAGGAAGCTTATTTAATACGTTAAAGCTTTAAAACACTTGGTATTATGAACTAGAATTCCAGGTCACCCCAAGTTGTTCGTTTAGCCAAAATGATGACTTGCAATTTTTTTAAAAGGCAAAAAAACTTTACTCATTAATGGAAGGAAGACTTAGCTTTCCAAACAATCTGTCTTTTGTCTTTCCCTTCTTTTTCTTTTTTTTGGTAGTGTATTTATTAGGAAAACAAATATCTTTCATTATCTTTTAATATTACATGAAAATCTCGTTTAAGTAAGAAGACCAAATTTCATCCTTGTATTAGTGGACTATAATGTCAACCCCAATTTTTAATGAAACCTCATAGATAAAATCTACTTAATCTTAATCAGTTTGACACTAAGGCAAGATTTTTATAAACCTTTTATAACCCTTTACAAAACAACAGCAGATCAGTACTTCAAGAAAACCCTGTTTTGCTTTTATTTGATGTTCAATTTATAGAAAAAAATGCATAATACCCCTTTAAATTTAGTCAGTATTTTCACACATATTATTTCTTTTACAAGGTTCATTTTTACAAACCTTCCAAAACTCATTTAGACCTTTAGCTTTATCTTATTTAATTTAAAACAGTCCTTTAACTCTCTAGGCACAATTATATATTCCATGCCTTCTTAAAATCTCTTACTCAAAATACCTTTCATTATTTTCACACATCTTGCATGTAAACATACTTTTTCAGTAGTCTCAATTACATGTTACAATGGTAATTCTTAGCAACTTTCACTTTTTGTGCATAAATTTTCTTTTACAAATCCCTTCATGACTTATACAGATAATCTATGATATTCTTGGGCTTTCTGACTTGTCCTAAACATCCCTCCTTTGAAACAACTAGTCACTTTACTTTAGGACAAGAATTTACCATACAACATTCTTTCTTATATAAAATATTATTTATTTATAACTTTCTTTGCCTAGCTAGGGGGAAGGCTAATTCCATATATCCCCAGGCCTTATTTAAAATTTGTGTCCAAAATAAATTGAACAATTTTTAAAAGTCAGAACAGTTTATGGCCTTAAAGCATTAAGCAAACCTAGTATCTCACCTGCATGATTTAGACTGTCTTTATTTTATTAATAATCTTTAAAGCTGTGTTTATTTCACAAGGATTAGTAAAGATACATGAACTAAAAGATATTACAGTTTTTATTTTTCTTCCAAAATATTCTATATAAGTGCTTTAAGACAATTAGAACAGTTATATACAAACATTTCATACACAACACACATAACTGCACAGACAGAAGAAGATTACTATAGTAGTTGTAAGGCTTTTCATTTGTCAGTTTTAAAGTTTCTTAACTGGATTACAGGCTTTAGGGTGGAGTCCTTGAAAAAACAGGACCAGTAAAAGGTCTCTGGTGACTTCTGTTCTTCCCAAGGAGTTCCAGGATGTTAGAGCTTGAATATTCAGTTTTAATTAAGCTTTTAACTTTAGCACTCTTTAATAAAGTCCTTTTAAAATTTCTCATTGCTCAACTTTAGCCAGGCCAAACAGCTGATATTTCTGGCTTTTAAACTTTACCAAAAGTAACCTCACAGGTGCTTTGAGAAAGGAAAACTTAAGACAGTTCACGGAGGGGAAGAGAATCAAAAAATGGAAAAGTTCACCCAAATATCAACCAGAAAGGCTCATCCCTTAAGCTAGGGATTGAACCCTGAACTCAGGCCACCATTGTGAAAAGAGAAAGCATGGCCACATGGTTACAAGGTCAATCTCCCAAGGATATAACTGACCATTTTTCTGGGCCATCTTAAACATCAGGCTTATGAGGTTTTAGGCATGCATTTTATCCTAAGATAACTGCTCTTTATGGCAGAACAACACAGGAAAACACACAAAGCACATCAGATTCACTACAGCTTAAGACCAACTTCAGAATTCTTTTCTCTATTAATCAAAACTTTACAGAGGAGAGAAGCATTAATTTTTACCATTTGTTTAACCAGTTTGCACAGAGAAAGAGGGAGAAAAGCCAGAAGGCTGACTGCTAAGGAACTCTAACACTTTTGCCAGCATGCCAGGCTTCTCAAAGCAGCCCTATTAACCCAGCTTTCCCTAAGCAGCCCTAGGGATTCACCTTGCTGCACCATCAACCTTTAGGATGCCAACTCAGCATCATAAAGGAAAATTATCTTCTTTTTGTTCTGCCCAGAGTAAAGTATGTGTGATGAAACATAGACATTAGCCACTCTGCTTAACATCCAATATCAACTAGCAAGGCTTAAATTTGCCCTCAGATGGGCCCCGTCATCTTTTAGTCCAACCTCCCGCTAGGAATTTCAACACGTGGTCTCTGGGCAAGATGGCTGCCCTGAGTAACAGAAAAGATAGGAAAGGGAAAGAAGAGAAAAAAAGTATTGCCTGTGGCAGGGTAGGGAAGGTGAAGTGCTCAGGGAGGCCAGATAAAGACCTACCCATTTTAGCAACACTGAAAAGTTCAAGCAGTCACTTGTTGGTAGCAAAGGGATCTTTTCCAGCAGTCCCATAAGCTCTCAAATTTCCCCTTTTGGGGAGGAAAAAGCTACCATGTCCCATGGTCCTGTACATGCCTTATCCTGTCACCCATAGCTGTCAGCAAAACATATAATACAGATTAATCCAAAAACAATAACAGTTAACATCCCACAGTGCCCAACCTGTTCTTAGCCAAAAGGGCCTTTACTGAGAACCGTCATTTTTAAATGTACTTCAATGAGTTGTTGCTCATGTGGAATGTTCCACTGTAAGTTATCTTTAGTAAGATTTTGCCATTTCTATAAGACTTCACTGCCTCCAGGGCCTAATGTATAAGCTGGAAATAACTCAGTTTTCCAGAAATTAAGAATCCCATTTTTACCTAAAATATTGGCTTTACTCTCAGGTTCTGTTGATTTTTCCTACTGAGCATGCAAGAAAAATGAAGCAAAGGGGTAGAACACAAAAATCCCTGTGATTTTCCAAGAGCTAAATTTTATAACCCCTGCACTATTACTGCTTACTACCAGTTCCTTTCTGACCCAATCAGATACAAGGAGCCTCTAACTGGATCCAAGACGGTTAATTCCTGGATCAAATCCACTCCCAGACCCAGCCCAGTTTCTGTTGTGACTTCCAAACGCAGTTTGTATCAGAAATTTGCTTGAAGAAACTCAAAGAGCTAAAAGCACAAATCCATGGAGCTCTGACATCCAAGAGAGAGCTTACCCAGGATCCCCAGGGGCTCTGAGAGATCAATGGACGAAAAGTGGGTCCTGCAGGTACCTTGCTTGTTCACTCAGTGCTCCTAGGGCTCATTAGAAGCTCTACCTTGGATCCCACTTCTGACCCATCTGATAAAAGAAAAGCTTCAGCCAAATTAAATTTAAAGGAGCGTAAATGACCAATGAACAATTTGTAAATCAGGTAGTCCCCAGAATCACAGCAGATTCAGGGACTTCAGCACAGCAATATGGTGGAAGATTTATAAACAAAAATAGGAAATGATCCACAGAAATCAGAAGTGAGGTCCAGAATGGCTATACTGGTTACAGTTTGGCATTTGCCTTTTTTGAACACAGTTTGAATACTCAGCAGTGTGTGAATGGTTGATTGGCTAAGACTCAACCATTGTTACAGGCACATACTTCTAAGTTAGGTTTTCAATCTTGTCTACCTATTAAGCTAGGTTGCACTTCATCCATAAGGACTCAAATATAGAAGTTCAGAGTCCTTTTCAGACCATATTTAGTTTGCTTTAAAAAGAGGAGGAACTTAGTTTATAGTTTAGCTTTGAAACAAATACAATAACAGTGTTTTCCCAAAACAAACCTTACTGTTTGTGGACTAGACTGCATAAATCCACAAGATTAGAAGTTATGGTAATCTTACGAAATTCAAGATGTAGCTATCTTTTTTAAACCAATATCAAAGTCTTAATTATTAAAAATTACACAAGCAAAGATCGTTCTGTCCTGGGCTGGGTTTATAGTTTTGTAACCTCTATGCCCAATTTTGACATCTCGTAGTATTTGGCAGGGTTAAGTATTAAATTGCTTAATATGTGCAAACAAAAATGTATGATGGTAATTCTTAAGACATTTCTAATGTCACTTTACCAATAATTTTAAAGCTAGTTTATTTACTAATGGTTTTACTTAAGTTTTGTAAAGGAAAAACCATTTGACTAGTCCTTCCTTTTTTCCTGATAAAGTATCTGATTCAAGTGCTTTTATTTTCTTAAGATAATTAATTAGAGCTCTTTTATATCAGTAGTGAAACGTGTTCACAATGCATAAATACATAGATCTATTAGGCGTGCCAATAGAAGTACATTTTATAGATTTATAAAAAATCTTTTATTTTTCCCTATTTTAGACTTTCAGAATCTTGATAAGCTGTTCCACAACCCTAGGCCGTAGTCAGCTAAATAGCCCTAAATTTGCATGTTAACAGAAACAATGCAGGTAAAACTCAAATAGCAAAATTTACATCATAAGGTATGGAAAGAATAAGTCTGGTGGTGCTGGAGGGAGATTAAGGGTGGATGCCAAATCAAAAATAAAATTATAGAGATCCATCATAGGATTGCATAAGGAGTCCAATTTTATTTAAATAGGGACTACTTATCTTTTCACCGGATCTCTGAGCTCTGGGCAATGCCCACTCTGAATTGTGAATCTTCAAAAAGACAAGCTTTTAGGAGAAAAAAAAAAAAACACATGAAGGCCTTTTAAATACAGACACACACATATGCACACATACAAACACACATCTTGGATATTAGCTTCTAATTAAGCTGACTTTTAACCATTGAGTTCCTTTTTAAAAAAATCTTTTAAAATCTAATTACCATATTTCAACTAGGACAAATTGCTGCAATTTCAGAAATACAGCCATTGCTCTTTCTCTTTGGTCTGGCTAGTAAAAAGGTGGCCTTGTTTTGTCAATAAAGTCCCTTAGTAGTCAAAACAAAAAATCTTTCTTTTTTTTCTCCTTTTGCTGGCCATTTTTCTCCCCTGAGCACATGCCTTTTTTGGGGGGGGGGGCGGGGTAGGAATTTACGCACTTTGGAGGCCTTGTTCCCCAAAATTTGGAACTTCCTTCAGATTTGATCAAGTTGGATGGAGCTGATCAAACCCAATGGTACAAAGACCAAAACAGTAACAAAAACAGAAACAGAAAAAAAAATTAAGAAAAACAAATGATCACACAACTTATGTTATTACTGAGTGCTCTAATGGTAAGAAATTACGACCAGCTGGTTGTTAATCTTAACTTTAGCCAAGACAAACCGCAATTCAGTTACTTATCTAAGGATGGGTCTTAAGCTGAAGGCTTCTCTCTACCATCCTAGAAGCAGGAAAAAACCTCATCTTCCCTGTTGGAAGCAACCTCAAATTCCCTAAAGGAGTTATCTGCCTTCCATCATCATGGAAGCAGAAAAACTTGCCTTTCTTGTGTTGGTGTAGCAGGAGAGGCCACGGGAAAGGGATCTCTTGAACACCGAATAAAGGAGGGAGGAGTTTATTTGGCTGGGAGACCAGGCAGTAATTTGTCAAAAGCCCAGCTCCTCTAACAAAGGAAGGTTCTGCCTTTATATAGGCTTATACTTTAGACATTACACGTGGAAGAATCTTAGGTTCATAGTTCTAGGACTCACATGTGAAAAGGTTTTGGTTTACAGTTTTGGGAATCACAGATGAAAGGGTTCCGGTTTACAGTTTTAGGACTCACATGTGGAAAGGTTTCTGGTTTGATCTTGTTTTAAGTAAAAACAGTGCCTTCTGGAGAGTTTCCCCAAGGCCTAGCCTGTCACCTATAGGAAGGTAAAACCGGAGGCACCAGTTAGTCAACCTTTTCTTCTATTGAAATACAGCATGATAGTCAAAGGGGAAGTTGATCTGAGAAGCCTGGGTCTCCCTCTTCATTGGAGGCAAGTAAAACTCCGGAAAAAAAAGGAGTTGTACAGCAAAATAAACTTTAGATCTCAATCAAATTTTGGGAGATCAGGGATACCCTGAATGGGGTGCTTCCAGGCCTCAGGAAATTATTCTATTGGTTTGAGCCATAAAGATCTCTCAAGCTGGTACCAAGCACCCATAGGAGATTTGTCAAAGGTCAGGGGCACCTACACTCAGAATCCCTCTGTGGTTACCAAAATGTGAACCCCAAAAATCTGAGATAGATCTCAGTTAATTTAGAAACTGTATTTTGCCAAGGTTGAGGACGCACACCCATGACACAGTCTCAGGAGGTCCTGATGACATGTGCCCAAGGTGGTCACAGCACAGTTTGGTTTTATACATTTTAGAAAGACATGAGCTATCAATCAACATATGTAAGATGAACATTGATTTGGTCTGAAATGGTGGGACAACTCGAATTGGTGAGGGGGCTTCCAGGTCATAGGTAGTTAAGAGACAAATAGTTGCATTCTTTTGAGTTTCTGATTACCCTCTATCCAAAGGAGGCAATCAGATACGCATTTATTTCAGGGAGCAGAGGGGTGACTTTGAATAGAATGAGGAGGCAGTTTTGTCCTAAGCAGTTCTCGTCTTGACTTTTCCCTTTAGCTCAGTGATTTTGGGGACCCAGGATATTTTCCTTTCACAGAAGCTAAAAGTTCGTTTTATCAAATAATCAATGTATTTTGTTTCCAGGGTAAGGAGTGCTATGTGCTTTTCTCAAAAGACTTTTTTACTCTTTTTAATAATTGTTTTTCCTCTGTTTTCTTTATCTATTATAGACAGGGAATAGTAAAGAGATTTATGTCAATATTCTGATTTTCAGAACACCTTATTGTTTCTTTTGCTGAGTAATAGAATTGCTTTTTGATTTTTAGAATTTCAATCAAAGTAATGCTCAATGAAAGAATATTGGGGAAAAAAAAACCAGCAAGGAAGGAAGAATAGTCACCTTGAGTCCCATCCTGAACTCAAACATTACATTTCCAGTTTCTTCTTTTCTATGCTTAGGCTTTAAAAGCCTAAGCATATTTATCTGCATTACTATAATGGTAAATTCATATCCAGTTAGTTGAAATAAAATGCCTACAAAATCCTGTCCTCTCATTTGCCATTGATAACAGCAAATTTTTCTGTTATGCAGCACAGCAATAAGTTCCATTCTTCATCTTTTGTTGGTGACCATAGGATTCCTTTTTCTGTGACTGAGCTTTGAAATTACACTCTATAATATTTTTTCTTCTTTTTCATGGTATTTCTATAAGTTTACTGCAATTCTGGCATTATTTCTAATATTTTACACTGTAAAAAGTTTTGTTCTCTCAGGTTGTAAACATACTCATATATAACTTTATATTTTACTCTTTTCACTATTATAATTTTCCGTATCATTTCAGCTTCTATAAATAAAAACTTATGTCTAAATAATAGTCCATCAAAAGTATTGTCTATAATTTAACTACTTTCCACTACTGGAGTTTTAAGTTGTTTTCCGATTTTACCATTATAAATGTAAATAACTTTGATAATAAAAAGTTTCAGAATGTTTTAAAGTATAAAAGATCTGTCTTTTCCCAGACCATACCTATTTATTTAGGTTAAGCTGAAGAGTCAATTTTTTTTTAGATAGGAGACAACGTCTTGTTGATACTTACAGACTGCAAAGAAAATATAAAACAAAGGTACAGGCTGTGTGCTTGAAGGACACACATGTTTTGTCGTTCCTCTTCTGGAGATGTTAAAGTAACACAGAAAAATAAATTCTTCTACTACTTAACTTCTCTAAGCCTCATTTTTGTTCTTTCACAAGATAAAATGGGGGAAATAATTTCCACTTTACGGAAAGAAATAGATGAAGCAAACTAAAGTTTATCAAGTTGAGGGGCAAATAGTAGGATCTTAATAAATGGTAGTTGGTTGCATCAGTTCAAATTATGGGTTCCAAGCAACAGAAACAAATTCTGGCCAATTAAAGCAGAAAAAGAATTACTAAAAGGAAATTGGGTAGCACAATTAAGTTTAAGAATGCTTGGAGAATCTGAACTGGAAATGGCCAAGAATAAAGGAAGGCCATATAGTCAGAATCACAAGCAAAATTGAACCTCAGTTGAGTGAGGACACCATTCCTACTGAACTACAGAACATGAATGCACCAGCCTCTACCACAAATCTGAATTGGACACCATCACTGGCATGGCTGTTGCTCAAACCGCTATCTCCACTCCCTCTCCAATCCCTACCAAAAGGATTTCTCCCAATCTTGCCTTGCTATCTCCATGTTAAAAATTTCAGGTGGATAATTCTAGTTAGCTGAGCCTAGGCCACATGCCTGTGCTCTAGCTGTCACAGAGCCAGAAAAGTGATTATCTATTTTCAGCTCATTATGG